ATATTAATATATCATACCATTGTCTTCATTTTGCTCATAGCAATAATCCACTTCATACACATCTCTGTGACTGCAAGACAAGAAAGTACCAATTTTATGTAAAATTAAAATAATTCAAATAGAAGTAAACCCTGACTAGAATGGTACAATAGACACTGATTGCAAAGAACAAAATGGAGTCTTATCTAAGGGTGGGAATTTTCGACACCACTCAAACCATACAGGAAGTTAGCAGGTTGGGGTTGATTATTTTCCGACATGGACATCTATATGATAGGACCCGATAGAACAAATATTAAATAGATCGAGTTAGTGTTGAACCTGCACAACACAAAGTTGACATGGATAACCAATTTAACAAAGAATTAGTTACACAATTTAATATTATGTTACACATACTCTTCTATTTCCTCTATAGTACCCGCTGTAAGCTTTCTGTATTTCTGTATATTCAATTGTATATTTGATTACAATCAGACCTTAAATTATATAGCCCTAACTCCTAAACCCAAAAGGAAAATACATTCATGCCTCTAATAGGACTCTAATACAATTACGCCTCTAATAGGACTCTAATATGTACAACCACAATCATGCCTAATTTGTAAGATTCACAATATATTCTCACACCCCCGCTCAAACTTAAGGTGTTTTAGCAGAAAATACTGAGAGTTTGCTAAGAAGAAACTGAAATCGACGGTAGTATGAGTCTTGGTAAAGAAATCCGCAAGTTGCAAAACCGAAGGAATGAAAGGAAGCGAGATAGAAGCAGACTGTAGATGCTGGCGAACAAAATGACAATCAATCTCAACTGGTGTGTTTGATTGGGGGGATAAGGGGAGACTATTTACTGTGCGAATTGTAATTCAAGGGAAGCATCCAATCCGCCGTTTGTTTTTTTTTAGTCCGCCGGACATGGAGTCCTGTCGGACTCCTTATCCCTGATATGGGGGACTATTGTATCCTGGGGGGGTGTGGGACAATTTTTGGGCAACTAGCACTGATAATAAGGCAATAAGAGATTTCTTTATCAATAAAAAACCTATTGAACAAGGAAGAAGATTAGCCTGGTATAATAAAATTTCTGAATATATTTTTAAAGTAGAACATCTTAAAGGTACTAACAATTTTCATGCAGATTTTCTTAGCAGAAATTGTTTCAGAAAATTAAATTGCTAAACAAGTAAATTTAATTCTTGCAGAAAACCTCTATACCAAGAGGAAACAATGGATAAGGGTAAACAACCCGCTCAAGGAGATTGGGTGACAATTGCTAAAAAAGCAATCCCCAGAGAAGAAAAAGTTTATCTTGTGTTTGCAGGTAGACAACCTGGAATTTACACAGATTGGAACGAAGCCAATCTGCAAGTTTGTGGACATTCAGGAGCGAGCTATAAAGCATATGATAGCATGACTAAAGCTAAAAAAGCTTTTTACAGTGCACCCGCTATGCCAATTTATCAAAAGAATTTTTGTCAAATGAGAATTAATCCTGTTCCAGCTAATATTCAGACATCTAGACCAGATGAATCTGAAATAAAAGATTTTTTCAACCCTGGTATATCCAGAGAAATTTATACGGAACTCAATGGAGTTTGGAAAACTCACATTGTAGACAACAAAGTGAAATTTCGAAAACACATGGGAGTTCTGGCCAACAAATTAGCTGAGCAAACAGCTAAATTAAAAGATTTGCAAAATTTTTGTTTCAATATTCTTAAACAAATGAATTGGAATGAAGATTTTAATTTTGAAAAAATAAACAATTTTCTTCAGCTATCAGACCTCATATCAGATGAGTTTTCTGATCCAGTTTTTGAACAAATAAAAAGAATTTGTCTTTTTGAAAAAGCAAGAACTTTACTTCCAAAAGAAATTTTTATGTTAATTAAAAATCGAGTTGAAGATCATCATGATAAGATTAGACAAATCTTAGAACGATCTTATAATAAATTAAATTTGAAAGATGGAATTCCCAAAATAACCATCATGGCAAACCATGACATGTGGTTTTTTGAGGATATAGATTGGGGAATAACTAATCAAGTTATTTTCCAAATTTTAGATCCAATCCAATGGATAGATTATCCAATGATCATCAAAGCAATGCTCTCATGGATAGTAAAAGGCTTTTGATGGAGCAAATATTTTACTTTCGGGATCTCCAGCACTGTTGATTAGCGAGAACGAGAACATTTTTTCCAACCATACCAAATTTGGTATCTTAAAGAAACTGAAGATTTTGAATTTGAAGATGATTATTTAGATGAAGATCACCGGAGAGAGCGATTGGAAAATATCCAAAAACTTTATTTGACAGAATAATAGATAGACAGTCTAATATCTGTTTCACAAGCAGCGTCCAACATCCATGGCTCAGCAAAATTGCCATTCATGGTTACAGATGGTAGAATATTATTTGTAACTCATTTTCCCATAACATATCAAAGGTCTCCTACACAAATTAATGAGGCTCTTGACATGTTAATAAATCTCAAAAAGAGAAATAATTTGGATCTTCCGTTGGAACTAGCTATAACCGCGGATGATGTAGAATATTTCCGGAATGAGCAATACAGCCAAGATCCGGATTCTCCTCCATTAGAGACTGATGAAGAATATCACAATCTCATTAACAGGATGAAAGCATCGTGGATCCCACTATCAAATGCAGTTGTCTCCTGATCGACTCCAATCTTATCTAGGACACGTGGAGCAACCTGCATCATTTGGCGGAAAGTGATCAGCAAAATCTTTTCAGCTGACGCTACACGACAAACCGCTCAGCCAAAGTTTATCTATAACAGTCTATCTCTTTGAAAACCGGGGAGGATATACAATGTATGTATATAATTGTAGTATAAAGATGACAAATAATTGAAGTCTCTCATTTATGACTTTTTGTCTTTGTATTTACTAGGCCTATACCTAGGCTTGTAGACTTTGTCAAAAAGTTGTAAAGCTTTGTCAAAAGTTGTAAAAATTAGACGTAAGGTAAATATGCCATAACTTTTGGTTTTTGTTTGTATATACAATATGTATTCTATAAATTGGCATTTAAGCCAATGCATAAGGCAATGTAAATTCGCTCCATATTCTCTCCATCTTTGTGTTTCCACTTTTGTCTCTAAATTTTCTATCATAATTCCATAATTCCATAACTCCACCATAATTCCATAATAAAAATAGTAAAAAGCTTCTTTCCATTTTAGTTTTGAAATTGGTATCAGAGCTTGGTGAAGAGTTTTTGAAAGTAAGATCAAACTATGTAAGTATTTCTATCTATGTATAAATTTTTGATATATATATAAGTTGGTATGGTGCGTTTTATGTTATAAAAAAAAAATTCTGTCTAAATTTTTTGTGTATCTTTTGTATTTTATATCTTCATAATTATTTGTTTCATTTATAATTGTTGTAAAACCTATATGCTTAGTGTATGTCAAAGCCCATATACTCGTTAAGATCTTTTGACTATTGGTCATAATTAAGTCTTTAAGATCATAAAGAGAAGTTTTAGGTACCAGATAATACACTAGGAGGGTCTTAGGTACCAACAACAATCTAAAATGACAATTAACTATAAAATATCTATCTATATATATATATATAGAACTGATTACTTATCCATCTGACTTGTATACATGTCTACCAAATGATTTTTTTGTTGGGGTAATATTCTAAGACCAAATGATTTGATTGATGGCTTACATTTCTGATATGACATTTTACTTATCAAAAATATATATATATATATATATTATGGCATTAGTCATTGATCTGAGTTGTCTTTTAGATTGCCCACTAGTGAATTTCATCTCCTGTTATGTTATAATGTTGATTGTTAACGGTGGTAATACCTGTCAAACAAATTTAGGTACTTACGTGTACTGATTGTTAGTTGATATTTGCTATTGAATATACAAGTAAAACTATAGTTAACAGCTTATTTTAATTTTAGTTTTATCTGTTGTCTTTTTTGTTCAATTTGGTTCTGGAGCACACAAACGTCTCCAAGTGCCAAGCATGACTGTAATAGGTTGATTATGTTTTACTGTTAATGGTGTTCAATTCTCTTCTTCTCCTAGTTCAAAACTAAATAATTGATTTGTAACCTTAAACTACAAATAATAATAATAATAATAATAAAAAAAAAAAATTAAATCATCCCAAATTTCAAAACTCCAAAACAATTCTTAAAACAGACAACCAAACAAATTTTATAAACTCTTTCTAAAAAATTATTTTTCAAAATTATTTTACAAATACAAACCAAATATGGTCCTTACTTTTTAGGTGCATTCAACTAAAAGGTGAACAAAAACTTGAAAAACAATTTTCAAAAATTAAACTAAACAATTCCAATAACTGTTTTTTAATAAAATAAATAATTAATTATTAATAATTTTTGTTACATGTGTACTTTCTATGTAAAAATTTAATACTATCCATAATACCTACCAAGCCTTATTTATTACAAGGATCAAACTTTAATTTTTTTCGATAATGTTCAGTTATCCGTTGCCAAACTGTAATGTCTTTAATTCGGCTTTGTGTTGCCATTTTTTTGTCATATGTTCGAGAGTTCAATATTGAGGAGAAAAAAAAATCGAGTTGTTTTCACCATTTTTTGTCCCTTTTTTTATTATAAAGAAACTTATTACAAGGTTGACCTCTTCCGAGCTGCTTTTTTTTTTTGGGTAGAAAGAAGATGATAATATGTAGGTAGCGTTTGGCAAGTTGAATTTTAATATTTTTTTAGTTAAAATTCACAAAAAGATAAAATAAATTAAAAAGTAACAAAACAAAATGTCACATTAAAGTCATAATCATATTATTTTTTCTCTCACAAACATTACATCTAACTTTAAAAAAATCAAATTATTTTTCCAAATACAAAAATTTTAACTTATTAAAATAACTAAAAATTGAAATAACTAATTAAAATAATAACTTTTCAAATACCCACATTATATTGGGGATTTTATTCGAATGAAAGAGTTAGACGGTGTCCACCATATCTCGTATTTCTAGTCCAGCCCAGGCTAGGGCTTATATTTGTTTGTTGTGTGTCTGAGACTCTCTCTCTCTCTCTCTCTGGTCTAAGGAATAATGGAGACTTCAATTAGATATGGCGGAGATTCCAGAGCTGTGAAATTCCATGCCAAAGAGAACCTCCCAATCGACTCCAACACCAACTTACAGGTACCTCCCAATCGACTCCACTCTTTTAAGTAAGCTTTTGTGCCTTTGGTTTCTCTTTTTCTTTGTTTCGGTTGCATATTGTAGTACTAGTACTTGCCAAGTTTTCCACTTCATCAAGTATTCCTAATTCTTAACCTCAATTTGATTGCTACTGTTGATTTTCTCATATTATTAGTAAATGTTGTTTGAAAAAAAAACATGTGATTAATTACAGTCTGTTTCGATATGATTTTAGCGTTCACTTTGCATAATTGATGAATTGAGACTCGTTTAGGAACGTTTTCCTCAAGCAAATCTCATGTAAGAGTTTATGTATAGCTTTCGTGCATTGCATACTCTCTCTCTCTGTCCCTCACACACATTAGCTGAGAAACTTCTGTGAATTACTATTTAAGGACATAAATTGTTGAAGCATTGAGTGAGTGAGAGTATATATATGAGGGATTGGTTCTCAGATTGTTCTGAGTAAGCTGACTGAACAACCAGAACCAAGGTTTCAAAAAGCAGTTGCAGCGGTCGTAACGGTTGCGATTCCAGGGTGTAAAGGCGTTGCCAAGGTTTCAAAAAGCAATTGCGGTTGCGGGATGTAAAAGCCGTAACTGTCTTTTTTTATTTTTTACACAATTTGAAAAAAACTTATCCGATGTGCATATATATATTTTTTTAAATTACATTTATTGGGGTTTACAATAGATTTTGATCAATTTTTGTTAGTTTTTAAGTATGATTCAATATATTTCATGTTCTTAAATCTCTATAAAAAGAGTTTTTTACATTTTATTTCAATATATGTCATAAATTCATATTATACCTGTTATTTTTATTTATTTTTTAAGAATAATTGATTTTAAATGTCTGCAAAATTATTTTTGACCAATACTTGAACTGACTAAATAAAAAATGTTTATAGTTATCAAATGAAATGATTATAAAAATAAAAATTGAGACATAAATAAAAATTATTTTTGAGCTACTGAATATTGCAGAATGTGTACAATGTATATTTTTTAAGCCTTTTTTTTATTTTTTTATTTTTGGGAAAGGGAGTTTAAAATATTGTAAATGTGTGTAACAGTGTATAATGCCGTTATGGTATTGTTATGACCATTACATTACATCGAAACGGCCGTTATACGTGTAAATTTCTGTCACACCACAAAAGCAGATATAATGGGTAGTGCCTACCACCGCAACTGTTACGTAGCATCGCTTTTTGAAACCTTGACTAGAATTGAACTGAGGGAGTCTATTCTTGATTTTTTTGGAACCAAAACTGAACTGTGGTCCCTTCAAAATCCAAAGCAAACAGGATTGAGATGGTCTAGTTTGGTTCAGTTCTCAGGTTGGTCAGTTCGTTTGTGCACCCTAACACTGATTCAAAGAACAACCCCCATGACCTTTTTGCCTGCCATTCATTCATTGTATGTTTTCCTTTCCAACCTTAATCAAATTTTGAATATATGGGAAGACTAAAAATAATTTCTAAAAATAATTCAATTTACCAAATTGCCCTTCTTCGCCACCCTTGCCCCCAACACCCTTCTTTTTCTTCTCACTCCCTCTGTCACTACCTCCGCTATACTCACCAGTCACCACCACCTGGCATTGCCACTTGCCCCCCACCAAAAAACACCACTCTTTGCCGGACACCTCCACTTTCACCTCCACCTCCAAAAAAATCATTAAAAATGCAAAATATATATATACCTATTATCAAAATCTTATGATTTGCGACTCGATTCACGATTTAATTTGCAATTTTTGTAAAATCAATACGAATCTATGGGTGAATCTATTTTAGAAGTGAATCTCTAGTGAATCGCACAATTTACAATCGATTCACAATTCGATTCAATTTTTACGATTCATGCAATTTTTAAAATTATTGTGTCTGACAAATTTTCGATTATTTTTTCTCTATGTTTTAGTGAAAATGGCATAATATACCTTTAAATAACGTTTAATACCAAAATAACAACAAATGAAATAACTAACATATACACATCATTTGTTGTTATTTTAGTGATCATGGAGTTTTTAACAGGATCCAATTAGATTCAGTCAGACCCAACATATTTTTAACATTCTTCTCATTTTTCTTCCCTTTAAAAAATCATAATATATCTTGTAAAGATATTTAAGATTAAAGTTGCACTATGAATTATCTATTTCTATTTTATCAAATTAAATATAATTGAATATTACATGTGTGAGGTCAGTTATACCTTTTAAAATGTTTTACGCTTTAAAATAAAATATTCGAAATAATTCTTTCTTATTATTTGCTCACTGTTACTTAAAAAAATATATATGCTTATTGTCAAAATATCAATATAGTTGTTAATTATTATTGCTTTAGAAATTGATAATTTGTCTATTTGGTTATTATTTTTATTAAGATTGGTCAATAAAAAATATCTCTAAAAAGGAAAAAGGTAATATGGTGATCTTATATAGGAACTTTTGTTAACTTCTTACCTATTAAACTACGTGATTATCATTCAGGGTTGGTTTGGGGTGTACTAAAAAAGTGCAGTTTTTGTCTTTTTACGAAAAGATGTGCAAAAAAGTAGAGAGGTGATGTGATGGAAAAAAGATAAAAAGATAGATTATATAGTAGATGACAAACAAGGCCTCAAAATAACATTTTCATTAATTTAAGTCTAAATATTTCATATTCATAAGATATATTTAACATCTAAATGTGTAGATATATGTTTTGAAGTAATTTAGAAAAAGTGACCGAATATTTACGATTCATGATTCGATTCAGTTCGTGAATCGGTACGAGACCATTTCGATTCACAATACGAATCCCCAATTTAACAACTATGATATATATATATATAGAGAGAGAGAGAGAGAGTGAGGGATCAGATCCGGTTATCTTCAATCTATCTGATGATCGACAATTCCTTGTCTCAGTCATTGAATCTAGGCTAGAGAGGGCACGCAGTAGGTTGGGCTGGAGAGGGAAGGTTGGGAGGGCTGGGGTCATGGGTTACGAGTTGCAGGGTTCTGGGGGTGGCAGATCTAACCACGTGAAGACGATGCATGATGGAAGGGGTGGTCAGGCATGGAGAAAGTAGGTGGAGGGGAGTCACAGTGGTGGCTGATGATGGTTTCGACAGGCTGTTCAATGTCACAACGATGGTGGTGGTTGGCGGATTGGAAAAGAGGGGAGGAAGAGGGTTAGGGTTTCTTTGTGAGGGAGAGATGGCTTTTTTTGTCTCTTGAAATTTTGATCCATTAACGTGCAATAATTTTTATCTTTCCATTTATGCTGTAATTTAAATAGTATTCCTTCAATGATTTGCAATTTTTTACTCTACTTTCCATTTTGGTGCAATTTACCCTTTAATTTTCAATTATCACCTAATTGAATTTCCACTTAAATTCAATTTGGTGTTAAATATGTGAACTTCTCAAGAAGTTCCTCATCTTTTTATGTGTTTGTAAGTGGCAGGTTCATGGAGAGCTAGATACAAAAGATGGAGCTCCAAGTTATTTAAGTGCAATGATAAGGCACTTCTATCCAGATGTATGTACTCAATTTTTATTTTTATTTTTTATGGCTAAAGCAATTAATGTGAGCAAGTTGCCACTTGAATTTTTTAGATCCTTCTTACAGCATACTGACGTATCTAATAATCATTTGTAGTTGTCAGCTAGTCTTGGTGTTGGATTGCAATATGATAGAAAGGAGAAGCTCCGGTACAGTGTGCGTGGAAAGAAGTCATTTCCTGTGACTCCTAATGGATTGTTACGGTTTAATATCAAGGGGCGGTGTGACGTTGATAAAGAATTTAAAGAGGTTTGCATTTTCCTTTTAGTTCTTAACATTTGGTCATAAGTGAGGTTATTCACAGGTGATAAAAGTTTCTCAACTTTTGTAATGCTTTTCATTGGAATGGGAGATAGCCCTTCTTCAGTTTTACAAAGTCAAAATGTTATTCTTTAGTTTTTTGAATTTATAAATGATTTTTTGGCATATCTTCACGTTGTGCGGAGTTACAAATTGCAAATTGTGAATACTGTCAGTTTCGTTTGTTTCAGTCATAGGATGATGCTATATACGGAAAGACAAAATTTTGGGCTCTAATCTGTTCTGTTTACTCATGGTACTTGTACATTGTAATACTTTGACAGAGGAAATCAAGAGGAGCTGCTGAGTTTACTTGGGGCATTCTCAATTTCCAGAAAGACCAAGATATAAGGCTTAAAGTTGGGTATGAAGTCTTTGACAAGGTATATATGCTCTGATCAATATTGTTCAAAGAAATTATGCATAAAACCTTTCCTAAATTTATCAATACTGTTATTTGAAGTCTCATAGATGCGTAGCTCTTCTTGTAAATGTAATGAGAGTTTTTTCCCCCTTTTCATGTAAGTGACCTTCCACTTATACTATGGTTTTCCATGAATCACTATGTTTTTCCTCAAGTTAAATTCATCTCTTACCTGTGGTGGATTCTGGTATTTTAAACCTTTGTTCTTACTTTTTTATTTTATTGCTTCCCACCGTGAAAATGTGATCTCCTATCTTTTGGACATTTGTAACTCAAATTGTTAAAAATATATGTATTATTGATTGATATCTTGTTTTTTGTGTTATATTACAAATCAGAGTAGCTCATTATATAGGAGAGGGTTTGGGTAGTAGGTGAGGAGTAGGTGAGGGTAAATTGGTGGTAGGTGTAGTAGGTGTGGTAGTAGGTGGTGGTAGGTGTAGGTAAATTCTAACACAAATTTATGATGATTCTGGCTAGAAATGTTTCATCCAGTAACAGTGTGGCAGTTCAGCACTTGTGTGTGAGTCAATCTTTGCGGGCACAACCATCAAGGTCTGGATTCTGCCACCTTTGTATTGGGGGAGTTCGAAAATATTGAAAGCAATGACTTGGTAGAGGGAGGGAGAGAGAGAGAGAGAGATAGGAACCTCTGTGTGCACACACTCTAGATGGCCACACACACACACACACACACACACACACACTCTAGATAGCCTTCACCATATGAATTTTGTTTTAATTTTGAAAAGAACTGGTCTTAACAGAAGCTGAAGCTTTCCCTTTCTCATTATCCGGGAGGAACTCTGGTGCAATTCATTTAAAAAGGTTTTATGGTTGATAATATTTTAGCCATGTAGGATAGAAAACTCTGAATCATTTTCCATAATCACCAAAATACTTCCCAAACAATTAGTTTCTAGTGAATCCCCTTGTGCTATGCTGCTATTTTATGCTTTCCATGGTAAAATAAATTGTTGCAGTGGTTTGTTTTAAAGGAATATGTCCAGTAAGAGTGATAATGTACCATCACTATAGTGTCTTTTGCTTATTAATCTTGAATATTTTATTCACATTCTTCTACTTCTTTTGCATGTTTGTATTTCAGGTTCCATACCTGCAGGTCAGGGAAAATAACTGGACGCTCAATGTTGACGTTAATGGCAGATGGAATGTGAGATATGATTTGTGAGAAGGGGAGAGCTTGATATATTCATTTGAGGTGAGCTATTAATTGCAGAGAAGATGATCAAAAAAATTATATGCAGAGAAGATATCCTCTCATGCCTGTTTCCATTTCCAATAAACAAAATAACTGATATATTGTCAATGTTAGGCTTCATTTTAAACTTACATTTCTAATATTTTGTGAAGACTTAACCATTGCATGGTTGCTATGGAGGAGGTTATCTGCCACCTGTTAAGGGAGGGGTTCAATCTCTTACCAAGTATCTATGGTAGATTCCTTCATTAGTGTTGTTGTCCTCATAAGTTTTATTTGTTGGGCAGGTGGGATTGGCGTTAGATGAATGATCATAAGATCTCTCTTCGCTCTCATTTCCTACACAACACACACATTGTCTTTCTTCTCTCTGGCTTGTGGTTATTGCACTTTTTTTTTTTCTTTTTCGTTTTCTTTTTCTTTTTTAGTTTTGTGAATGATGTTGCTCTAATGTGAAGAGGCCCTCCAAGTAGGTCTGATTGGGACATTGTTTTTCTGTCAGTACCTTGATTGTAGATTCCCTTCTCTCTCTCCCTCATCTCTCTCTCTCTCTCTACACACGCGCGCACATTATACACATTCAGTGGTCCCTCTGTGCTGATGATCCTCTGACCATCACATGGCCATGAAAGAGCTGCATTCTTCTTCCTTCACTCATTCCTCTCTTAGACTTTGGCCTTTTTGGCTTTAGGCCCCCATTATTTATGTTCATTTTAGGCAGGGTGGGTCTTGCTGTCCTTTTGTGTGGGGCATGCAACCACGTGTTCAATGAAGATTGTTTATATGCGGGAAATTTGCCTCTTTTGAGTATTTTTGTTCTCTCTCTCTCTCTCTCTCAGTGGGAATGAAGTGTGCAATCTTAGTTAATCAGCTTTGTCTCCATTACCTTGCAACACCAATCTTAGTTAATCAGCTTTGTCTCCATTACCTTACAGCACCTTCCATCATTCTCCTGGAGTGGGGATGCGCAAATATAGTGAACTCTTTCCACTGGACAACTTGTTTGTTTCTCAGCTTCAACAATCACTTTCAGGCATCATTCTGTGGTTCAAAACAAGTAATGAGAATTGAAGAAACTGCAATTTTGATTATGTCACAAATGGTTAATGAGAAATTCTAAAGACAGAATTCTCTTGAAGATTGAAGGATCTTACAACTGATTGCAGGATCTTACAACTGATTGCCTTTTCAATGCCTACTTACTGTTATCAACCATTGCTTGATAGAATAAGATTACTGTGTGACACGTAGGCTCCGCTTTCTTTGTCATTGTTGGTCTGGAACATGCATCATCATTACAATTTTGATATGGGTCTGTGTGCTGTATGATCCAAAGATTTAATATGATGATACTGACAGACATGTTTTTGTGCCCATGGGAGGGACCATTTGATTGCTCGTCAGGTAACAGTAGAGAATCTTGAGATGGGAGTGGAAAAGGGTTTGTTTTCTTTATTACCTTGTTGCATATTCTGCAGTGTTCTAGTACAAGTATCCAACAGAAATTTAAAGATTTAAGCTATCAACTCTCCATTTTAGTTTTATAGCCATGCGAATGAAGTAGGAGATTGGATGGCTTAAAGAGCAAAAGTTGGTGTTTCCTTTGGTTGGGGTTCTATTTTTTCTCAAAGAAAGGGATGGCAATTTCTCTCTGCCCCAGACCGGTTTTTCTTGCCTTGATAAGGAATTGGGGTGGGAACTGGTTTTACTCTTCATGCCCCATTATACTCCCCCATTCTTAAGGTTATAAAATTAACCTAGCTACCTCCTTGATTTGCTGTACCTGATCCTCAATATGATTAGGGGTGGGGCACTACAAACCCGACCCACGCCACTCTCAGATGGCAGAATGAGGATCTATATATGTTTGTTAGATTCTCATGAAATCAAGTTTTAGGGACTGCGTTTCTTACAACATACATACGCACATGACAATTGGCTTAGGCATTTGATGGGCTGATGGGGGGTGGGTCTCTCACTTGGCATAAATGTCACACACATGGAGAGCAGCTATATCTGAAGTGGAAATACATGACTGTTGTCCTTTGTGTTTTTATGAACTTTCACCCCTTTTATGATTTCAACAGCAAATACCCACTTACTCTAAGGGCCTCATTTGGGGGTTGCTTCTTGGGGGGTTGATTTTGCTCCCAAATTCTAGTCCTCAGAATAGCCCCACAATATTTTCTCATTCTCCCATGAGGATGCTTGACAATCAACAATGCTGGGTAGCTTGAAAGTGAAGTGGCCCGAATGGCTCAAATGTGCAAAGGGTTTTTTTTTTTTTTTTTTTTTTTTTTTTTTTTTTTTTCTTCTGAATCCAAACTTAGAATCAAAATCATTTTTTCCCCCTTTTTCCTGCCTCCTCTCTTCTTCCTCTTCTTCCTTTCCCCTCTCTTCTTTCTCTTCTTCCTTCCTCCTCTCTTTTGTCTTCCTCTGTTCTTTTCTGAATCCAAACTTAGAATCAAAATCAAAATCAAAATCAAAACTCATAATCAAAACCCAAAATTAAAACCAAATCCAAAATCAAAATCAAAATTCAAAATCAAATCTCAAAATCAAAATCAACTGTCGAAGATCTAGCTTCAGCCTCTCCGTCCATGGCGGTTGGTTGGGTTGTGGTGATTCATCAAAATCAAAACTCAGAATCAAAACCAAAACCAAACTCAAAATTAAAATCAAAAATCAAAATCAAAATCAAATCCCAAAATCAAAATCAACAACTAAAGATCTAGCTTTGGCCTCTCCGTCCATGGCGGTGGGTTGGGTTATGATGGTTCGAGTGGTTCGCGACCTGGTTCCTTTGTTCCCTCTCTATTTTTTTTTTTCCTTCTCCTCTCTTTCTCTCGCCTCTATGTTTCTCTCTTTCTCTCAAACCAATTTCAGATAGAAAAGAAAAGGGGAAGGAAGAAGGAAAAAGGGGGGAAAAAAAAAAAAAGTGCCAAAAACAACGTCGTTTTGGCACTACCAGGATTCAGGGCATTCGAGGCCCCTCCAATTTCGAGCTACCAAACATTTTTTCTTGACCATATATTGCATAAAAAAGATGACTTTGGTGAGACTAACAAAATAGGGGCACCAAACTTAAGGATGGCATAAAACACCATCCAACCACTGCGTTAATGGACTAGCTCCACCATTCTATATCACCAAAATAATTTATTAGATTTTTTTGTTTTTTATATGATTTTTTTTGTTACATGATACGTGTCACTATTTTTTTTAAAAATAATGTACAATTTAGCAAAATTTATAAACTCTTTTATTAGATTGTATATAATATTACCCTTTTTTAAATATGGTGGGTCTTAATTCTATACATGCATTAAATAAAAAAAAAATAAAGAATTAAAAAAAATTATTACTCAAGTACACATGAAAATTGAAAAAAAAAATGTAAAATAAATTTAGTAATAAATAGCATTTTTCTATTAGTAATGAACTTTTGTCTTTTATCACTAAGAAAAGTAAAACAGGTTATTTAGTGGAGCATATAATGTCATCTAATTATGGTGATGGCTCAGTAGGGGGTTATGGTAGAACAAAATTGGGATGCAAGCAAAGTCACGACTTTAATTTGATTTTCTATCAATTTGGCAATAACTTTTTAACATTTATAACGTCACCTTCCATTCCGGTGGCAAAATTGCAGTGCCTCACCCGAAATGATTTGACAGCCTTTATCGCTAATTTGTTTCAGCAAATAGACTCTAAAAAAAAAAAGAGAAGAAAAATACATTTTATTGTACATCCTCTATTTATTATTTTTATTTTTATTTTTTGGGTGAGTACTATACACCCAATTATATCTGTCTTGTGATTTTTAGTAATGATTTAGCAATGCGATGTTATTTTTCATTATGCTACAAAGTAATTGTAAGATTATTTAATAATATTTGATTATGATTCATGATTATTTGAACAATACACAAATTATATTCAAAATTTTACTGAAAAACAATCATGATTAACTTAAATTCATTCTAATTATAGATCACAAAAATACACCTGATAAAGTCCAAACACACGTTTATATTAGACTTAAAAATTAGTTATAATTTTTTTGGATTTATAGTTTTCTTATAATGATTTTTAATTATGACTCGTAATGATTATATATGTACTTTTATTTTTGTAAATTTTGTGGTATTTAGTTATGATACAGTGAATCAGTGATGAATTGAATCAATACTTATTTTTGAAGATTCAATTATGTTATATGTATAGTTCAAAAATAAATAAATAAAAATAATTTATGATATATGTATAATATGCAGTTTCTTAAGTGGTTTGTGCAGTAGTGTAACCGTAAACGCTAACGGTACGCTTTCTTTTTGAGATGGCAAGTAAACTCCAACACTTCACTTTCACTATTTATCACCCTCTATTGCTTCAATTTTTTAGTTATACAGTAGTCAAGTGTACAGAAGCTTCTGTATAAAAAGCACCCAAGTTCATTGCAATTTTGCTCACAGATTAGTCCATTCAACTTCAAACCTTTGATTCTTCACAATTCTCTCTCTCTCTCTCTCTCTCTCTCCCCACATGACTCTTCGTTCAAGAATTCTCGGCGACGTCAATTCGTCGACGAAAGAATCGGAGAACTTGCCGGCGACCGACGACGTCGATTCAGACTTCATCGTCATCCTTGCTGCCCTGTTGTGTGCCCTAATCTGTGTCCTCGGCCTCGTCGCCGTCGCTCGCTGGGCCTGGATCCGCCGGATCTCCGCCAGAGCCACCGGCCGTTCATCTCCTCCGCCACCGGCGAACAGAGGCCTCAAGAAGAAAGTCCTCAAATCTCTTCCGAAGCTCACTTACACCGTCGACGACGCCGGTAAATTCTCCGATTGCGCCATTTGCTTGTCGGAATTCCTCGCCGGAGACGAAATCCGCGTGTTGCCGCAGTGCGGCCACGGTTTCCACGTCGCATGCATCGACACGTGGCTTGGATCTCATTCATCGTGCCCGTCGTGTCGTCAGCTTCTGGTGGCGTCCAGGTGCCAGAAGTGCGGTGGATTGCCGGAGAGCTCCTCCGCCGGAGCTGAGACAGAGGCTAGGTTGGAGCAACGGAGGCAACCAGATGATGTGCGGTTCTTGCCTTAGCTAGAGTCAAATTATTTTTTCACTTTAATGTTGGGGGCATTTAAATTTCTAGGCCTCAAGCAATTATAATTTGGCCAAACAAATTATGTGCAAATTATTTAAGAATGTTTATATATATATATATATATATAAATATTACTAAATATTAGGAATAAAAATAATTTTTGACAACTAAACCTTTTTCAAAAAAATTTAATACTATAAACAACCTATAACATTCAAATATTTAATGCTTTTCTCTAAGTCTTTTTTTTTTTTTTCACATTATAAAGGCACTTAAAAGAGTTAAGTTTGAATTTGAAGTGACCCACTGAATCAACTGAAAGTGGGGAACTTACATATTTGATATTGCTCTCCACTACTACTTCTGAATTATTTGATTTTCAAAGTGTTAATGTATATTTGTATTTGGGTCGTGCCACGAAATGAAACCATAGGCTAGTAATTTTATGACAAAATGATGACATCTATTTGTCAAATCTTTATTCTTAATTTTTTATTTTTTGTTTTTGTTTTTGTTTTTGTTTTTGTTTATTAATTTGGGAAGTTGGTAAAAAATAACTTTTTATCAATTTCTTTCAAAAAAGTCACCAAAAAAGTCAAAAAGTCAAAAAATTAATTTTTTACCAACTTTTCAAAACACTCATACTAACTAGGGTTCGCGTTTCAGTTTTGGACGGTTCGATTTATGATTTAGACTCGCCCACATATGTGCGGTTTGAGAAAAATTAAATTCGCAACCATCCGCATAGTGTGGGTTGCGATTTGTGCGAATAGAATTTACGGATATACGGGCGGTTGCAGACAGTTTGCGGATTGGACTTTTTTCTTTAAAAATTTATTATTGGGCATTTCCCCCCTATTGTAAATATTTATTTTGGGTCTTTTTTCCTCATTTTCTAAAATGTTCAATATTAATAATTAATGAATTAAGACTTATAAAATTAAAAAGGCAACAAAATCAATTCCTCACACAAACAAATCATTCAAAATCCTAAACTTTTAAATAAAATCATAAATTAACATAAGAACATCTTTCAAAATGTTAAACAAAATCATCAAAATCATTCACTACTCAATAATAAAATTAAAGTAAAATCATTTAAAATCATAAACTTACCTAAAAGTAATTCTTCATTGACTTTTACATTCATCCAAAATGTAATAATAAAATAATAATAAATTGTTGTCAAACTTCATCCAATTCAAAACTATTAAATAAAATAAAAATATTTGCAAACTCGTAAAATCAATCATTAAAAAAAAAGAAGAAGTCGCGTGGGCGAGTTCTTGCGGGTGCGGGTAAAACTCGCAACCAACCTGCAACCTGTAATAATATCATATTTCAAACTGCATCGGCTCGCAGTGTATCTACGAAACCGTCCATTTGTATGCGGATCGGTTCGGATTTGACAAATTGTGCGGTTTGGATAATTCTATGCCCAGCCTTAATACTAACTATCATGAATGTATTAAGATTAAGATATCAAATAAAAATTTTAAAAAAATATAATTCTAAAATTTTACGAATGGGATGTATACATGATTGTGTATTAATGAACATGAGGTAAACTTGCACCGGGTAAAAGTAGGGTTGCAAATAAATCGAGTTATTCATGAACAAACTCGACTCGGCTCGTTAAGGGTTCAGCTCGGCTCAACTCGTTTAGTAAATGAGCCGAGCTCGAGCTCGCACGAGCTCGACTCGTTTATTTATATTTAAATTATATAATAAATATATTATTTATATATTATAAATAATTGTATAAATACATTATTTATATATTAAATATTATAAATAATATTAGAATTTTTTTTATCGAGCTAAGCCGAACGAATTGAGCCGAGCTCGAACCCAGTTTTTTATCGAGCCGAAGTTGAACTTAATAAACGAGTTCGATAAGTAAACGAGCTGAGCTTGAGCTTAGCAAAGTTCGGCTCGACTCGGTTCGTTTGCGACCTAGATAAAAGTGACCAAGACTTTATGACAATGGTTGATAAACTCCTAATTAAATTACTAAAAATGGCAAAAATACTAAAAATGGCAATCAATAAAATAATCTGAAAGATATCGTTAAATATATACTTCATGTCAAAGAGGAAACTCCATTTAAACAACTACTAGTTTTTTTAGTTTTTAATTCTGGCTTAACCTAACCAAGATAGTGTTAGCCCACCTTACTGGCTTTATTATAAAATAATTAATCATTTATTTCCCTTTTAATGAGAGCCATCCAAATGAAACAGGAGGTAGCCGCCCCTAAAAGAGCCACTATAAATTACAATCAACCAACAGCAGTCAATCTGTATACCTTGTTGATTATTGGTTTGAATCTTTTTACTTGATATGAATTTTATTTTGAAAAAATTAGTCAGTTATTCCTTTTTAATTTTTAGTAATAGAACAGATTCATAATATATATTTTTTTTGTAGTCTAAGGTCCCTTACTCTCATATCCTTATATCACACATAAACTCTCATTCTCTCTCTCCTCTCTCTCTCTCTCTCTCTAAGAAGTAGTAATGACATCTCCAAATATGGCAACAATCCCAGCATCTTTGGAGAGATCGCTGCAAAACTATTCAGCGGCATCAGAGACGCTAGAGATGACAAGAAACATCTTCTTGTCGACATCCAGAAGATCGCACACGAGCATTTGCACCCTGAATATGCCTATAAAGAGGCCGATGTTTACATTTTGTAAAAGAAATTGTAGTTGTAGCACACACATATCTAGTAAGTCTTAGAATTCGGAGTTTGAAGAATTGAAACAACAGCATACATAAAATAATAATAATAATGATTGGAGCTGTTGAGAAAAGAAATGTTTGTGTGTGCAATAATAATTTTTTTTATCAATTTTTATGAGACAAACTGTTCTATTCATAGAGAATTTCTTGTTAGAATTAAATTTAAGTGGAGAAAAAACTTTATTTGAATTTTGTGATTGTTGATTGCTTTAGTATTATTTTGTGGGTTTGTTAGTAAAGATTGCATTGTTGCCTTACATACTATACAAAGTTAGAGAAATTCTTTGTGAACAGAGCTGGAAAAATTTCAATTATCTGTGAACAAAATCAGAGAAATTTCAATTTTCTTTGGTTTGATCTCAGAGAAATTTTTTGGGAAGTCCAAAATTTTTCTGGGAAGTCCAAAGAAATTTCTAAAATTTCTCTGGAATTGAAATTTCTCTAGATCGATATTAAAGGACCTTAGACATTATGAAAATATTGAATGTCCTTTATACTATAAAATCTTAATATCAGGATCCAAAAAAAAAATCCCTTTTATTTTTCATGTATTTGTTTATAATTTTTATTTTATATTTTTTATATATATTAATTATTGTTGTATTTAATTTTTGTTATTCTTTTAATTCTTTAATATAATTCTTTAATCTTCATCATTATAATATCATATACATTTAATTATAAATAAATAAAAAACACTATAACCAAATACAGTATACACATATATCATATATACAATTATATTTTTTGGGCACGTTTGGATGACAAATAAAAAAAAAATGGATAAGTTATGTGTAGATCTCATTTATTCCACATTTATTTGTATAATTTGATAATGAAATAGTGTACCAAAAAAAGAAACCATAAATCGTTTGACAATTATATGTTTTAGTTAAAAAGTTAAAAAATCACTCTAAGTTGTTACGTAACTCTCTCTATTTTTTTTTCATAAAAAGTTAAATAATTATTAAAATAACATATTTTAAACAAGTAATCCCATCAAGCATTGGGATAAAATAGGATAGGATAACAAGTTTATAAAAAAAATTACATATATATATAATAATAATATTATTCAATTTTGTTCCTTTCCAATATGATAGGACAATACATATTATCTTTCATATTTGTAATAATCCTGACCTCAGATTAACGTTAATTCGTGCTTAGTTAAGCCTAGCAATAATTTAGGAAGGATTTGGAACTAAATTGTACATGTGATTGCATGATTTTGTGTTTTTATCTGTTCGATGTAGAAATATCTGTTCACGTTTTAGTTTCGGTTAACGAATTGAAAGCTTTATCGGCATTCGAATCAAAAATTGACTTGATTTATGTGCTTATTAGAATTTATAGAATTTTATGGTAGGGTTAACTAAAATTCGATTCAGAGCGATTAAATTCGATTAAAATAATGTTATTTGGTTACTTTTAACCAATTAACACTTAATAGGCCATTTGGGCCTACTCACCTTCTATTATTCATTCTTTGATCACTCTTAAACTTTGAGAGGGAGAGACAAACGGCTGAGAGAGTGAGAGAAGGGGAATTGGTGTAGGGCTTGAAGATTTAATTCACAAGGAGAGGATTTGCTAGGAAAACTTGGAGACCACCACTAGCATAAGGAATTGAGGTCCCTAGGTAAGAATGTTAATCTCTAGTCTTGAAATTTAGTTGATGAGATCATGAATTAATGGTGTTAGGTGGGTTAGCATGTGATTTGGACTTAAAAAGGGGATTTAAGAATGAATTCCATAGCATTTTGGAGTTTGATTATCAAGAATCCTTGCATGCCTGTCATAATCCAAGCTTTGTTTAGAAATTCTTCATGTTCCATGTCATAATATCATAGTTGATCATGTTTTTGGGATAAACATTTGCGTTTAGTCATGTTTTGGAAGATTTGAATTCAAGGAGTTGCATACTAGTCATGTACATGAGTTAATGTTATGTTTCATGTTGGAATTGTGCATGATTGATTTACTCTTGGGCTATGATTTCTTGAATTGAAGCTTTACACTTGTTGTTTTATGAGTTACGAAGGGTTTTTCAAAGTTTTGGCCCAGAAAAATGAGTTTTGGAGGGTTGATTGTCGAATTTGAGCTTGGGAGGTCAATCTGGATTTCCAGAAAATTGACCTACGCTCGAGCGGGGACTTTTACGCTCGAGCGTGAAGCCTGAGTATATGTGTGTTTTGTAGTCCGCTCGAGCGGGGGAATCCACACTCGAGCGAGAGTCTGTGTCACACGCTCGAGCGGGGGTCGAGCGGGGGTCGAGCGCCCGTCGAGCGTGAATTTCTTGCATCTAGCACTTTTCATAGTTTACAGTACGCTCGAGAGGGGAATTCCACGCTCGAGCGAAGCTTCATTGTCTGCATGTCCGCTCGAGCGGGGAAAGCCACGCTCGAGCGTGGACCTTATCTTCAGCAAAATTTGATGAATAGTTTTCAATGCATTTTTGCATCCCCATTCCATTCTAGGCATTCCTAGACCATGTTTCAGACCCCATAATGAGGGTAAAAGATTAGAAGCGCACTAAGAGCCAACGAAATAAGTTTTGTACAATTAGAACGTGTGTTTCAAGAGTGTATCTGTTATGTGTTGTGTAGGTCACATGCCACGTACCGTTTGACCAAGCTTACTCCGTCTGTCTATCTCAAGGCCCACTGTGAGTAATAACTTTGTAAAGTTATGTTCAATTATAAGTATTTTTCGAGTAATGTAAAATGATCTGTTTGCCGAAGTGATATTTTCTGTATGAATGAATGGTTGTCCAATGTCTTTAAAATGTATTTGTGACATTCTTAGCCTCAAATGATAATTGTTATATGTTCTATTACGTCCCTTTATGAGTCAACTGTACGTTTCATGAGCCAACTGTATCATCTCCGTGCACGTGAGTCAACTATATGCCTTTATGGCCGTCCCTTATGGGCAAATTGTTTCTGCTATTGCTAAAGAATGTATCACATAAACTTTAACAAGGCTTATGATTTCTGTCTGTGTATGATCTAGACAAGTTATGATTTTGATACGAAACTGAATTATAAATTCTGAATCTGTATGGACTCATTCATATAACCCTTTTACTCTGTTATTATTTAATGGGCTTTCGCTCACAGTTTATATTATATATGTAGGTGAGCCGGCGTGTGACCAGGGCCAGAGTTGACGGCCTTCTGTTCTGTTTTGTCAGCCAACTATTGTGCCTCCCGAGGAGGTTTCGGTCGAAGTCTAATGCTATGGCTGTTTTTGTGTTCATGCTAGTCATCTGCATATGGTTTGTAAAGACAGGTCTTGGGATGTAAATACTTTGTAAATATTGGTGCCCTTTGACTGGCATGTTTATGTATATATATATAAGTTTTGAAATTTTCTGTCCCATGTACGTTATCACAGCTCATTGGACTTTGTCTATTTTGTATTATTGCTTCTGCATCCCCTTATTATTTGCTAATCTGTCCAGAGACCTTTGGTAATCCACGAATTACTGGCCGGTTACGGTGCTCAACCTACAGGGGCGAGTTTGGGTCGTGACAATATTTCTCCGTTATTATTTTTGGCCCGAAAATCCCACTATTTACCCTAAAAATAGTTATTTTGTAAAGAGATTAAGAATGAACATTTCATTCTATTTAACTTTTGTTTCAATGATCCACACATAACATTAATATTTGATTTGTTATAACAATTTCAAGTAACAATGAAATAGTTTTACTCGGTCTCCTAATAAAATGGTTTATAATGGAATGACGATTCTATTTCAATTTTATTCTATAAGAAAATTTACATTGATACAAGTCACAAAGTTAAGGGTGCAATGTAGTAACTTAAAAGAAATTAAAGGAATAAAATGATATTGGATCATATAGAAATAACAACTTACCCTCTCATTTATGAATCTATACATTTTTACTCTATCAATTATAAAAGTTATCACTTTCAACTCTTCTCTAAACCACTTCTAGATGGGGTATATTTGTATGACTTTTATAGATAAGGAGTAAAACAATATTTGTTAATAGTTAAGGGGCCTTGTTATAATTAACTTTAAGTTAATGAAGGCAAATGGTAATTTGGTCTTGTTTGGCAAAGTGTTTTTTCTTTTTTTTTTCTTCCTTTTGGGCTAAAATTTATAAAAATAAAATAAACTAAAATAGTTAAGAAGATAAAATATTACATTAAATCTATAATCATTTTACTTTTTATCTCATAAATATCATATCCAACTATAAATTTTTTTTATCTTTCTTCCTAAACACAAATATATTAACTTACTAAAATAATCAAAAATTACAATAACCTATTGAAATAGCAACCTCCAAACGAGGCATTACTCTCAACAAGTTTATGTGGAGTTGGAAATGTGCATCAGCAGCGTCGAGTGTTTTCACGAAAATAAAGAAATAATTGCGTTGATAATGATGATGATGATGAGGGGGGAGCCATTGGTAGCAAAGCTGGCGGTGCTGGCAAAGTACGCGGTGCTTCCGGGAGCCATGGTCGCTGCTCTCATCTACTCTCCTCCCCATTACGCTTCTTCTTCTTCTTCTTCCAACAAACATCATCTTCAATCATCCTCTTCTTCTAAGTCCATGTCCATGTAGATCTCTTCTTCGTCCCTAATCTTACGGTTCGCTTCCTTCCTTCCTTTACTTACAATTCGCCTTTATTTTAGAGCTTTTGCGTTGATCTAATTTGTTCTATTGATATGATTTCTCTTGATAATTGGTTTTTTTTCCCCTTGATCTAGGGTTTTTCTGTTCTGTAATAATCTATTTGTTTTTCATGATAATTGATCTTACGTGTTGTCATCTTATTCACTTGTTTGATTTGAGAATTGAAATTCATGAAAATTTCTATGGAAGGAATAAAGTTAGTGACGAGACGACTACCATACCAAGCCAAGCCAAGCCTTAAATCCCGTGAATAACCTAGCCTTTAAACGATTCAAAGTAGATTCATTTCATAAGGGATCCTAGAAGCTTTTTTATGTGTTGATTGTCGGCTACCCAACACATAACCCAGGCTTGGGACCGGCAAAGTTACGAGACGACTATCATATCCATTGTTAATAGCTGAGTTCATTAATTAAATATCAGTGTTATAGGAGGTGATTGTCATGGTAATTACTGTGCTAATTGCTAAATCTAAGAAGTGATGTCTAGTTGCATGGTCAATTTCATGTCACTCTTCCTGTGATTTCTATTTTTGGACTAGTAAGCAATTGGATTTGCAGATAAAGCTGAGCCGCACTGTAGTTCATCAATGACCTTCCTTCCTTACAACTTGTAGAGGCCCCAACTTGTTGAAATGTCCGATGGCTCATGTTTGGGGTGTATGTGAGCCATGAGCCATGAAATTTCTATCTGATTAATCAAATCAGAAAGTACAAGTTGTTGTAGTATTGTTCTACTTATTTTATTGCCATCAGATCGTTCAAATAGGGATTACTCTATGAATTGCAGCTTACCTGGTGTAATGCCTCTGGGTGCAGGGACTTTTGATTGCTATCTTTGGAGCTGTGCTGGGCTCAGTTGGATGGTTCTGGTATGTAATAATCCTGATAGCTCTTCTTTCTTGCTGTTATAGGAATACAAATTACTTTCTGTTCCTTTGAAGAACTTTGAGCAGCTTTGTGTAATGCTTTCCCAACAATGCATAGTTGAATTTGATAAATGCAAGATGCTCCTTTAATTTCATCGTGGAATTTATGGATCTCAGTCAGTATGTGGAATGTGTGCTTTGAACTTTCACTAATGCGGTGTTTGGTTGGAGAATTTGGAAAGGAAAAGGAAAAAAGGTAAATGAAATGTGAATAAAATATATCTATATTTCACATAGTTTTACACACCTTTTTCCTTTCCTTTTCCAAAGCCCTTTCGCAAATCCCTCAACCAAACACAGCATAAATGTTTTTTGCAGAAGTTATGTCAAGAATTTTTTAAGAGTTTTATAGGTATTTTGCAGCTACAAAGAAATGCATATTCTGGTATATATATATAGGCATATATTTGTTTAGTGTGTTGGCAACTTGACAACACAAAACATGATGGAATGTATCCAAAACCTCTTTCGGCCCATTAGTTTTGAACCAAAGCAAGCTTGAGGTCCCCGTCCTGGTCTCGGAAGTTATTATCAACTTCAATGAGTGTGTAAGTACCTTTGGTGGTATAGATGGACTCATCCTCTTTTGGTTAACTTGCATCGACTCTTTCAGTAATTTCCAATTACCACAATTCCTCTTCTTTGCATGGCCACGTTCCAAGTAGTATGGGGGAGAGGAAGTTAGCCAGAGCAATGATCCTTCTTCATAAGGTGCTATTGGGATATGGTTTATCAACATATAATCAAGGTTTGAGGCTATGTTTAAACATCAGATATTACCAATTCCATACCCTGTCCACTCTCTTTCCAGGCAGTAGTCTCCATCTAGTGGGAGAAAGTTGTCAGATCCTACAAACCTATACTTTGTCCCTGCATGCTTTTGGTGAAGGAGAAGGAGAGGGAGAATCTCTCTTTCCTCCGCTATCTTGAATCTCTCACATATTAGAATAGTTGGCACGATTTTCCGACACCTTCCAGCACTTGCACTTGGTGATATATCCTGACTTCAATTCTATTGTGCTGAAGTAACGGGCTCTGCATGTGGTGGTATCTCCAATCAATGAATGTTCAAATATTGAGGTAGTGGGATTACATGGTTGGGTTAATGTGAGATGAGATTGTTCACTTAACCCCTAGTATTTTATTGACTAGTGACCCCACATAAGAAGATGATGTCACCTGAACAAATCTGAATTTATCGGTTAAAAAGTGATAAACAAAATGGAGTAAAAAAGATAGCATTGTTGTAAATACATAATTCACAAGAAAAAAAAAGAAGCGTAACAGTAAAAATTCGCAGGACATCAAATGAGAGGAAGCACAGGATGTTGAAGTAAAAAAGTTGGATCAAACTAGTGCTGTGCTATGTTCCATGTAGATGCAGTGGCAACTTCCCGAGTGGAATTAGAGCGATGGTGAAGGCACGAATCCGTAAAATACCTCAAGAAACAGAGGTCTTGTGATTGTATTTGGGTTCAATTGAACCCATTGCACCATCACACAACATTGGACGTACCAAGTTGAGTAATAAACAAAATGTAATAAGAAAAGCATTTGACTGTTAAAATGGTTGTACACAGATTTTCAAAACAAGAAGCGTCTCACAAGAGTCCACAAAACATCTAATGAGAGGAAGCCAAGTAACAAAGTTGGATCAAACCTAGTGTTGTGTTGTTTTATGTTCATGCAGATGTAGACATAGAGACAGCAACTTCACGGACAGAATTAGAGGGACAGCGGAGGCATGAATCCGTACAACACCTCAAGAAACAAAGCTCTTGGGTTTCGTCTTCGTTCTCATTCTCCTCCAATGATCTCCCCACAGTTTCCCTTGTAAACAAGTAGGTTATGATCATTCCCACAATGCAGACTCCGCCCAGAAGCACCAACGCTATTGTCATCAGTGTTGGGTCATATTCTCCATTTTTGTTCTTTTTAGTAGCCCAAAGAAACCCGACCGACCCAATAATCGCCCCAACCTTTCCAAAAGCCCCTGAAATCCCATGGCATGTGGAACGGAATCTGGCAGGGAAAAGCTCTGCAGGAACTATGAAAGTGGTGGTGTTTGGCCCAAAATTTGAGAAGAAGAATGTGAGGCCGTATAGTATGAGAAAGCCTATATTTTTGGTGTTTTTGTACCAGTTGTTAGAGTAGGGTATCCCAATGGCCAATAAGGCAAGAGCCATGAAGGAGAAGGCTATCATCTGGATTCTGACTCTACCAATGCGATCAATGAGGAAGACAGTGGCCCAATAGCCTGGGATGGTGGAGCAAAGTGCGATCATTGCTTGGAATTTCGCAACGTTGAATGCATCTTCATAAACATTCACTTTCAGCTTGTCTTTGAACTGTTTGTCATTTATCTGAGTCTGAACGAGGTTGGTGCTGTAAAAAACGATGTAAACCAGAAACCAGGCGGCAGCGCAAGAGAAGAGGTCGCGGCCATGGCGATGGAAGAATTCTTTGGAAAAGAATGGGTAAAAAGGTGGTGGTGGATTTGGTGGGAACTCAGAGTCCTCTGCAATCTGACTCAGGGATACGACGAGCACTTTCTCCATGTTCTTGGCTGCTTGCAGCACGTTCTGCTCCATCAAGGCTGTATATCTGGGAACAATTAACAACCCAAAAACAACTTGATAGAATATATAAAAGTGACTAAAGCAGTTTAAAACAGAGAACTTTGTTAACAGTTATGATCCGACAAACTCTAATCTCTTAATAAGGAGTCTGGTTTCGATTCTTCCATAATCTCTATGTCAGTTTTGGTCCTCAATCTAATATGATTAAAATAATTTCCACGCCAATACAAAGTAATAGGGTGAATTACAGTTTTCATCGTCAAACAATTAATTAGGGTGACAATTTTTTTTTAATAAAAACCAATTTAATGAGTACTTTATTTAAAAGTAATGCTTCATCATTCAATCATAAAATTTTCAGACATTGCAGCTTACGCTGGTCTTTTTTTTTTTTTTTTCTCTTCTCAAGGCACAAACAGCTTACGCTGTTGGGGCTGTGAGTACATATGTATAGGATATGAAACTGCAAGTACAAAGCTCCCCAATGAACACTTCCCACTTTGAAAACAACGTTAGCACATTTAAAATATTAAAAAAAAAAAAAAAACCTCGGTAAGATCAGTATTATTTATCCACCCAGAAAATCCTCCTGTCCAATGGACACTATTGGGCGGGGTGGGCAAGGGCAAAAAAAATCCAAAGTCAAAAAAATCTTTGAAATCTCCGATGTTCCGAACTTGTCCAACGTTGAGATGACAAAAAAAAAAAAAAAAAAAAAAAAAATAAATTCATTTTATCTAAACCAGACTGTATAAAAAAAAAAAAAAAAAAAAAACATAAATTCATTTTATCTAAACCAGACTGTATAATTTAATTTAATTTTTCTAATGAATGATTTTGTACAATTTAATTTAATTTTTTCAATAGAGGATTTTGTCTTATTTCTTCAAATAAACCGACCTTTCATTCTGATTCGATCCATAATTTTATAATTAATTACAATTTCAATTTAAAAGAATATATATATGGGAGATTTATTTATAAGTCCATTTCCAGACACGGCTAAATCTTGTGTAATTTTTTATAGAGTCTTAAGTCTTATTTAGATAGAAATGTATTCTACAAGATCCTACATAAACATAACGTGACGTGACACTTACATAAACGTAACGTAACGTGACACCTACATAACCGTCGTAACGTAACGTGATACCTACATAAACGTTACGTTTCGCAAACTTAATGAGTTTTTATTTTTTTTAAATTGAATGTGAAATGTTGCTAGTTTATGTTGATGTCACGCTATATTTCATATAAATATGATCTATGGTAATATTCAATTTCATATATAGGAAATTGAATATTGTCATAGATTATAGGTGTCACGTTATGCTTATGTAGGTGTCACGTTACGTTATGTTTATGTAGATATGATCTATGATAACATTCAATTTCCTATATTAAGAAATTGAATGTTGCCATAGATCATAGGTGTCACGTTACATTCATATAGGTGTCACGTTACGTTACGTTTATATAGATATGATCTATGGTAACATGCAATTTCCTATATATGATTTTACTATTATTTATGATATAAACAACTAATATTGAGGGTAAATATGTCAACAAACTTCCCACAAGATTTATGGAAACATAAGTTTTTCGTATGTAGCATAAATAATTTTCCCTATATATATATATATTTTTGTATCTCATATATTATATATATAAATTGTTAACCCTCCCTCTACATCTGCAAATGTGTTCTTGTAGACAATTTTTGTTTGATGTTTTAGTAAATTGTAAACAATAAATTATAATTATGTTATGGATGATAACAAGTTTTTCGAGAGAGAAATGTAAAACCTGGCAATTTCAGGCATCATCATACGCCAGCAAAATGTCATAGCAGCCGGAATGGCACCAATGATGAGTATGAGCCTCCATGCCAGGTCTGCCTCCGGTGGCGTCCGATCCTTGGGCGGTTTTGTCCCAGCGTTGAAGATGGTGCAAACCGCCATCGTGACAGTCGAGCTCACCAGTATCCCCAACCCCTGCATGGAGAACACCGCCGCTATGAACGCTTCTCTCGTCCTCTTGTTTGAGGAACTCCGACATTATAGTCGCCGACAACGGGTAATCCCCTCCTATCCCCACCCCTAGCAAAAACCTAAAGAAGCCTAAACTCCACAACACACACGTCTGAGAGGTGCATATAGAGAATTCACATCCAATAGAACTGAGCACCATCAGCATCAATGCGAGGCCGTAGACTCGGCGTCGTCCGACGAGATCACCAAGGTGTCCCAAAACGAGCTTGCCGATCACGGTCCCCAAGAGAGAAACGGCGACCATGGTGGAGCTAATAGGGATGGGGACTTCGTAACGCTTGTTGGGATCAGGATTGTCGTAGTATCTGCGACCAATGAGTCTCGTGATGGGAGGGATGCAGAAGAGGTCGTAGCTGTCGGTGAACAGTCCCATGCCGGCGATTATGATGGCTTTGAAGTGGTAGTATTGCGTCTTCGCAGTGTTGAGCGCTGAAAGGACTTTATACGCCATTATTGATACTCAAACCTCGACGAAGGAAGCTCCCTTCCTTGATGTTGCGTCGCATGAATGAGTGTGTTGTGTGACGTTGTTTGTATTATATGTATATATATATATATATATTAGCAAAGTTGGGGCGGTGTGGAGGTGGGGTTGATCAAAGAAGATACGACACGATACGAGGGAGCTTCGTTGAGGACGGAAGACAACCATGGAGTGGTGACTAATAGGAAGGAGTCCATGATTCCAAGAAAAATGCGAATAAAGACTGTCCTATCTGATGCCAATATCACTTTCTTAATTAGTAATTTTGAAAATGATATGGACTTGGTGGAACTTGATCGGAAGGTTTCACTTTCCTCCCCTTCCCTTCCCTTCCCTTCCCTTCCCTTTGTCGTTACTTGTTCTGGGTTTCTCCTACGGTTAAAATCGGTGATGTTTTCTATTCTTCATAGGCTGTGTTTGGATGCACAAATTATTGAAACTTATTTTACTCACCCTACTTTCTCTAGTGTGTCAATTTAATTACTAATTTCTTCTAATTGTATCAATTTAACTCTAACAGAAATTATACTAAAATTAAAAATTAAAATAGTTTATTCATTTTCATTCAAGTGATACACAAGTTCACATCTAATTTAAAATAATTTACTGAAATAATTCTTTTTTTAATTAAGAACTTGACATCTAATTTGAAACAATTTAAACTTTTTTCCTTGGGAGCTGTTTAAGTGTGCAACCCCTTTAAGGTTGCACACCATATGCAATCCAATTTTTAGCCGTTAGATTACAATAATTGATCAAGACTATTGAATTGTTTAATTGTAAAAAATGTGAAACCGGGGCAACCGGTTAATCCTCCTTTTTGCATGATTGCATCCCACTTTCCTCACTCACTCTCTCTGTCTCTCTCTCTTCTTGTCTTCATCTCTATAAGGTTGCGAGTGTAACTCTTGGTTTTCATTAACAACAACAAGCCCCTGTTGGGTTTCATTGACGAAGCTCTGTAGGGAACAGTATAACCCTTGATTTCTAACAACAACGGAACTACAAGGCTTTGTGGGGTTCCATTGCTGAAGTGAAGGTGTTCTCTTCAACAAGATATCAGGTATGAAGCTGTCTCCCTCCCTCTCTCTCTCTCTGGCCTTTTCACTTCAGCGATTTTTCCTCAACTAAACCCTCATCCTAACTTCAATCCATCTATGTTTCGCTCAAACTGAAACCGTTCCATCGCCAAGTAACCTCTCTCTTTCTCAATCGAGTGTTTGTGTTTGCATAAACAATCCAACCATGTTAAAATGTCATGTTTGTGTTTGTGTTAACATTTTTTAGTCATAAAGTAATTGTTTGTACTAATGTCATGTACAATATGACCCCAGCCGAAGTTAAAAGTGAATGCGTTGATTATGACATTCCAAATGAAGCAGATGACATTCGTTTAATCAATGAAAGTCGGGTGGAACGTTGTCATGGTTGCGAAATTGGTTCGCGCAATGAAGAAGCAACCAACATAAACGTTGAAGATGGCCGAGCCGATGTGAAACAAGAAATGGTTGATGATGCTCATGGCGATGACATGGTTAGTGAGGTTGAATGTGCTGTTCTGGAACAGAAATTTGATTCGGTCAAAGATGGAGAAACTTTCTACAATGCGTATGTTAAAGCCAAGGGATTTAGTATACGAAAATCCAGATTTAACACAAATAAACAGGGAAAGGTTGTTAGTAGTCTATGGTTGTGTTCAAGGGAAGGTCAGAGATTACCAAAATACTTGGACCGTGTTGCAGAAAAGAGAAGAGCTCCCAAGGCATTAACAAGAATAGGTTGCAAAGCATAATTTCGCATATGGTACGATCCAGAGGCTGGTGAAGGGGGAAAGTATGTTATGACTCACTTCATCGCAGACCACAACCATGAATTCGTAGAACAACACTGTGTGATGTATTTGAGGTCACATCGGGGTTTAAACAGCGCCGACAAAGCTCAAGCAATGGCTATGCGCAACGTCGGTGTGAAGACTAGCCAAACCATGGACTATATGGTAAATCAATCCAGGTGTTATGAGAATGTTGGTTTCATCCATACGGATTTGCACAACCACATTGAAGCCAAACGTAGAGTAGAAGTTGAGGATGGTGATGCGCGAGGTGCTTTGGTTTATTTATGTGCAAAACTTGATGTTGACCTACGTTTTTTTTTACAAGTATGATGTGTGTAAGGATAACAAGTTACAAAATCTGTTTTGGGCAGATTCGAAATTGCAGGCTGACTACACAAAGTTTGGTGATGTGTTGATATTTGACTCAACTTACCGTACCAATGTGTACAGGAAATCTTTTGTCATATTGGCTGGTGTGACTAACCACTTCACAACTACGATATTTGCATGTGTTTTGCTAGCTAATGAGACAATTGATACATACACATGGGTTTTGGAAACATTTATGGAGGCGATGGATAATAACGCATCTGTGTCCGTACTGACAGATGGCGATAAGGCGATGTGAGAGGCAATTAGAAGAGTATTTCCAAACGCAAGACATCGATTATGTAATTGGCATCTTGGGAAAAATGCTATGTCAAATGTTCACAAAAATGGCTTTGCTATGCTTTCAAGCAGTGTATAGAGATGGAAACGGATGAGGCAAAGTTTGAGGATGGTTGAACGAGAATGGTTGAAAAATTTGGACTTAAAAACAATAGTTGGGTGTTGGAGACATATGAGAAGTGTCGTATGTGGGCTGAGGTATATATGCGTAGCCATTTCTTTACTGGGATGAAGAGCACTTAGTGCTCAAAGAGTATGAATGTTTATTTCAATCCCTTCCTCCAACATAAATTGAAGCTATATGAATTTGTTAGGCACTATGATCGGGCTCTTGCAAGGATAAGGCATAACGAGGCTGGAGATGATGCCGAAACAAATAACACTTTTTCGATATTGATTACTCCATTATAAGATGTAGAGAGACATGGAGCTAAGCTATTTACCCGGAATATATTTAAAATGTTCCGTGATGAAATCTTAGAAGGGGGGAAGTTGAATGTGAAGGACGTGTTCCCTTTGCCGGATGGTCAGAAATACTACTATATTCATAAGTACAAGGTGAATGATAGATCGTGGATAGTAACATACAATCCAGTGGATGCCACAATGATATGTTCTTGCATGATGTTTGAGTCGTTTGGGCTACCTTGCTGTCACATGATATGTGTTATGAAAGCTAAAAATTTAATGCAAATTCCCCCAACTTCTATGCTGCATAGTTGGACAAGGGCTACAAGTAAGGATGGCCAGCTATTTCGTCAACCGTCAATTGATAGCTGTAGACACCCTATTTTTGACCGACCTTAAGACTCAGACGTCATCGATTGAGCGCTCGGTGATGGTGCATGTTGTGCTCGTTCTGAAGCTTCGAAATTTAGCTGAGAGCCTTATCCTCGGACCTTGGGACCCTTTTGTGCTTTGCCTCGGTTTGCGAACCAGGTCTTGTTTTCTGTTCTTGAAGGGAATGAGAGGTCTCGTAGACCATCTCTTAGTGGCCGTAGGCTACTTTTCGTGGTCGTAGACCATTGCTCCCGTTTGGAGATCAGTTTCTAGTTTTCGGAGTCGTTGGTCGTGCGCTTCGGTTCGAGACCGGTTAACTTTCTCCGTTTGCTCTGGTTTTTGGCACACACCTTGTTTTCTCTCTCTAGAGGGACACTGTGGCCCAGGAGACCACCTTCGTAGTCGCACGTCACTTTCGATGCTTAACAGTCAGTTTTCGGGGCCTCCGGCCGTGCATTTTGGCCCCCGAACCCTCGTTTTGCATCCGTCTTGGTTCATTTTTGGCATGGACCCTATTTTCATTGTTTGGAAGGTGGTACTAGGGTGAGAGACCACCTTTTCTCCTTGGAGACCACCTTTTCCTGGTCGGCCGGTTTTCTTGTCAGATAGCTGGTCTCCCTCACTTTTGGGCCATAATTGCTGGTCTCTCACCACACCACTAGCTTGCACTCACTTGGGAGACCACCAATCAGGGCTTCCGACCAAATTTTGCTCACTTAAACCTTTTGAACCGGTCGGCCGACCAGGGGGAGTGGTCGGCCGACCACCTGAACTGGTCGGCCAGCTTCCTCATTTTTTGTCTCTGTGAGTGTGTGCCAGCTGTGCCAGTTGGAAGGCACAGACTGCATCCTCCATACACGTGTATGGAGGATTGACAACCTTGTTTTGGCTTCTTAAAGAAGCTTGGCCCTTTGCTCTAAGCTTCTAAGAGAAGCTTGAACCTTTTTTAGCTTCTTGAAGAAGCTTGACCCTTTAGCTCTAGCTTCCTCAAGAAGCTTGACCCCTTTTGCTCTAGCTTCCTCAAGAAGCTTGTGCAAAGAGACCTTTGCACAAGCTTCTTGAGGAAGCTTGGACCTCTGTTCCTCTATAAGAGAGACCCTCTCCCTCATTTGCAAAGGGTCAGAAAATTTGGTTAAGGCATATACATACACCCCTCTCTATCTCTCTATTTCAAGCTCCAAAGTCCCTTGTTCTTGCACCTTTACACTACACCTCCTAGCCTAACACCTCCAACACCAACCTAAGCTTCTTGGAAGGTCTTGAGAGGTCCTAAGGTCTAAGTTTTTGGCCTCAAAGCTACTGGAGTTGCTGAGCTTCAAGGGTAACACTTCTTTTCCTCTTTTGGCCTTTATTTCCTTCCTCTTTTAGCTATACTTGCAAGCATATTTGGGCTTTGTCATAAACAAAAACAAGTTTTATTTTGAGGTCCCTTACATGTTTGTTTAAAACCATTTTTCTTTTGGGGGTCATCTACCCCCTTGCATGCTTTATTTCATCTTATTTTGAGCCATGCCTTAGGGCCTTTGCATTGACCTTCGTTTGGTCTCTTAGCCACTGAAATCCAGTGTATTTTCAGTGGCTAGGATGCTATTTTTAGCACCAAAATCAGAGAGGGGTGACCCCCTCACCCCTTGTCTTGTTTACTAGCATATTTGGCCTTACAAAGGAGCCCTTATTTTCATGCTTCCAAGCCATGTTTTAGGCCATTTTTGGTGGGTTTTAGGACTTGCATAGGCTCTGTCTAGAGCCTATTTTTCCATTTTGGGTGTCCATCTTGCATGTGTAGAACAACCCCCTTTATAGCCTATCAAAGGAGCCTATCATTCTTGCATGCATAGACCATGTTTCAGTGAGTTTTTGGGCTTTATTTGGCATGTAATACCTCTAACTTTTGCTGGTTTGGTGGCCTCTTGATTGCCTCATATACTTGTAGTGCAAATCCTCTTTACTAGCTTGTGTTGCATGCTATTTTGGTCCTTGATTCTAGCACTTTTTGGCTATGCTTCAAACTAATTTTGTGCGTGTTTTGGACTACCTTAGCTCTATTTTTATGCCTCATGGTCAAATAATGCTTTCTATGCATGGTTGTAGTTCAATACCCCTGCCTAGCTTTGAGTTTTGAAGCCTATCGCATGCTTATGTTGAGGTGTTTCCATGTTTTGGGGCCATTGTGCATCATATTTCAGAGCTTACATGTATGCCATATTCCCATGTTTTCCACTCTTTAAATGCGTTTGAGAGTCGTGCTAGTTTGCCTCGTTTTTGGACCATTGCAAGAGCTTCATTTCTATGCAAGTTGACCCATCATTTTAGGCCATTTTCCCACTGTCTTGGACCTGCCTAGGGCCTGTTTGGGGGTGGTTTTTCCATTTGTGAATTGCTTTGTGTACCTCTAGTATAACGCACTTCACTAGTTTCGGTATTCGGGCCATTTAGCATGCATCGTGTGAAGTGTTTGCATGATTCGGGACCATTGTGTATCATATTTCAGAGCTGGATCATGTGCCATTCTATGCCATATTTCATCATTTGTCATGCTTTGTTAGAGTTGCATGTTGTGCCTTAGGATCGGTCCTTTGCATCCGTACATGTTTGCATGTATTTCGGTTGTCTCATTTTCATCATATGGCCACTAATGTGAGTGTGGCTGAGGTCCACTCATATTGGTGTAAGTCCATCTTGCATTTGTATATGCCATTTAGTTCATGTGCACATGATAGTCATCGTAAGTGTATTGTGTATGCCATGTTATGTCACGTGCATTGTGTATGCCATTTTAGCCCATAGCGTTGCGTATGCTAGGTTGCATGTTAGTCGCATTGTGTATGCCATCTCACTACTTTTTGTTTGGAGTAGGGTTTAGTCTGAACACGGGAAACGAGGGACGTTTCGTACTCAAAGTGACGAAACGTGTCTCAATTTTCGGTCGCCGACACTCTGGATTACCCATGATGGAGTTTAGGCCTAGTTGTGTTTTCATGTGCATTCATTTTACATCGAATCGTGCAATTCGACTCCTCGGCCATCATGCATCGAGATGCATGATTGGTGGCACGAGGATCGAAGCA